TGAAATCAAAGTTTCAATCCCCACAGTGGTTGTTTTAAAAATCAGGAATCTCACAGGAAGCTACAAATGTCCAAAAGGCTATGCAAGAGAAAGTTTCAACAGCGACACCATGTGGCTACAAGGAACAACTGCAATGGACCCTCAATCACACTTCAGGGTTTTCTCAGGATGCCCTCAACCAAACTCAGGTGTGGACTGTGTCCTTGGGGAGGGAAAGCAGGTCACTGGAATGTTGTGTCTCAGAGTAGGACTGACCTGCATGGTGAGAGGGTGGGGGTCTTAGATGTGTGTGTGGGTCTATGGGTCAATGGCCCTCTGTCTTTCTCAAAAGTGACAAGTGCAGGTGGAGGAGTTGGGGTTAAATATGCCAGAGAGAGCCCTGGCAGGTTTGGCTTAGCAGACCGAACTGCAACCGAGGCCAAGGGCACAAAGCTTGCTTGCAGTTCGATCCGGCCCTGGTTAGGGCCTGGTCAGGGTCTTGCAGTAGGCAACCAATTGGTGTGTCTCTCTCATGTCGATGTTTCTTTCTTTCTTTCTCTCTCCCTCTCCCTCCCACCTTCCCTCCCTCCCACTTTATCTGAAGATAAATGGAAAAAATCCTCAGGTGAGGATTAAAAATAAAATTCCAGAGAGAGCAGAGAAGAATAAAATTATGTGTAAGAAACTTAAAATTTCACATAATAAATCATTTCTAGTATTATGATATGGACAAAAAGTAGTAAGTTGCTGGGGAAAACTGCTAATAGTTTCTCTAGGAATATGTAAGACCGCTATGGTAGATTGGAAAAGTGGCCACAGTTATTCATGTTTTGTTTTTGTTTTTGAAATACATATATCCATGCCTTTTGCAGAGTCTTTTCTTTAAAAGCGGAAGGTTTTTCCTTACTCTTCGTACCTAAGCTGGTCTGATGACTTGCTTTGGCCAATCGCACGAGGCAGAAGTGACGTTATATTGCCTCTGCTCACTTTCTTAGACCCTTGCAACCTCCATATATGAATAAGACCAGACTAGCCTCGAAGATGAGAGACCAAGTGGAGCAGAACCTGTCAGCCAAGGCCAAAGACATAGGGAAAAGGCTCAACAAGATCAGCAAAGCCAAACCTCATCACAGCTTTCAGCTACCCCCCAGTTAAACCTGCCACACAGACTCAGTGACTCATGACCCAGATAAATGTTTATTATTTTGTCTTTTTTTTTTTTCTTTATTGATTTTAGAGAGAGAGGAAAGGAGAGGGAGAGAGAGACAGAAACATCGATGAGAGAGAACCTCAATTGGCTGCCTCCTGCCTGCCCCCCACTGGGGATCGGGCCCATAGCCTGGACATGTGTCCTGACCGGGAATCAAACCAGTGACCTCTTGGTGCATTGGTTGATGCTCAACCACTGAGCCACACTGGCTGGACAATATTTATTATTTTAAACAAACAAGCAAACAAACAACCAAACAAAAAAGTGATCCCTGGCCGGTTTGGCTCAGCGGTTGGAGCATCGGCCTGCAGACCAGAGTCCCAGGTTCGGTTCCCACTAGGGGCACGTACCAAAAAAAAAAAAGTGATGTGTGCCCTCTCACAAGACAAGCCTCAGAACAGAAAGTTCTCTTCTCCAGATTTTCTATTCTTTCCAGATGGATAAGAATCTTCTCTTCCTCTCTTTCTGGATGTGCTAATTCACTTAGTCAATCATTTATTCACTCAATAGATTTTGTTTTCCAGTGTAAAGCACTTTGCCAGGCTTGGTGAGGGCACAGGGTGCAGGGTATAGGAAAACACAGGCCTGATGAATAGTCTGGTTTGGGCAGAAAGGAAATAAGCCTGGCCAAATAAGCCACAGAGTGCATTCGAATTCAGATGTGGGATCACTTTGCAGCTGTGTGACCTTTGGATATTTACTTAACCTTTCTGAGTTTTCCCTTCCTTATCTCACAAGCAGGGATAATACCTGGCTCTCACCATGGGGCGGGGGAGGGGCAAAAAATGTGCAAAGTGCTGTGCCCATGAGTCAGAATCACTTCCCACCCCCTGCCTTTGCTCAGTCACATCTCATCACATGAGCATCTCCCCCAGGAGGGAAGGAGTTTTCCTGAATTTGGGAGGTGTTTTGCTTTCAACAGTTCCTCACAGAAGGATCTGGGTGGGACCAGCCCAGATGGGAATTTGGCATCTTCCCAGCAGCCAGAGAGATTGACTGTAGGGGCACTGAGAAAGGGTAGGGCACACAGACCATTCTGCCAATCAAGCCTGATGTGAAGTGGTGATCTCTCCAAGCCTGCAGAGCTACAATCAAGTCTGGGTGACTCTTGTTTGGTTCTCCGCCTTGGCTGGGAGACTGAGCTGCAAAAAGGCTTCTGACCTGAGACATGGCATCCTGAGGTTTTGCCCACAACCAGGTCCTGAAGTGGGAAGCAAGTGGTAGTAGATGATGAGGTAGGGAATAAGCCACAAATAATCCTCAAACCCAGTCTTCTTTTTTTTTTTTTTATCCTCACCTGAGGACATTTTTCCATTTTTTGTTCAGGTAGAGTGGGAGGGGGAGAGAGGAAGAGAGAGAGAAACATCGATGTGAAAGGGACACATCGAGTGGCTGCCACCCGCACGACCAACCAGGGCCGGGGACAAACTGCAACCGAGGTACATGCCCTTAGCGGGAACCGAACCCGGGCCTCTTGGGACCGCAGGCCGACGCTCTAACCGCTGAGCCAAACCGGCCAGGGCAAACCCAGTCTTCTTTTTTCTCCTCTCAGAAACCCCTGACCTCAACCACAGCGTAACTAGAAAGAGCACACACTGGAGGTTTAGGTCACCTCCCGTCTTGCATTTCAGCCCAGAACTGGCACCCAGCTCAGGCCAGAGAGAAGGGGACCAGCCCCAGGGCTGAGAGCTGTGAGCACAGCTGCAGTACCCAGTGAGGTCGGTTACCACACTGCCCCCATGCCTCAGTTTCCCCTTACCACCAGGGTATTCTGTGAGAGGCGGATGGGGAAGCCAGATTCTGCAGGGGGCAGAAGTCCCTGGAGTGGGGGCAGCAGGGATGTGAGCATACATCCTGGTGGTCGTGATGGCCGTAAGGAAAACACTCACCCCATATACATCTCGGGCAGGACTAGCTTGACCCAAGCTGAGACCCTGTAGGGCAGAGACCGGAGCAATGGCTGTGGACTGATGGCCGAATCCCTTTTGTCACTGTCAGGAGTACATGCACCTCTTGTGCTGTCTGTGGTTGTGAACCTGAGTGTCTGAGTGTGAGAGAGCTGGGGGAAGGGAGTGTGGGGGAGAGGGCAAGGATGACTGGCCCTGCAGCTGGAAGGCTAAACCCAGAAATCCAGTCAGCGCAGTTGGGTGGACAACACTGTGGCAAGGAGAGGGGGAGCGAGAGGAGACAGACACAGTGGGGAATGGAGAAAAAAGAAGGAAATAGTGACAGGAGGCAGACAAACAGATGTGATCAGGAGGGAGAAAGGGAAAGAGGGAGGCAGAAGGGCTAAGAGCCAGGGCATCAGCAAGTCTATGAGAAGCTAGAAACGAGAAAAACACACTGAGAGACATCTTCAGAGGTGAAAAGAACGCTGTGTTACCATCTATCTTCCGATGGTCTCCCTCGCCAAGCTGTTGGTTTTGGAGGCAGGCACTAGCTTAAATCATCTCTACGCCCTCTGTGCTTAGCATGGTGCAGACATAAGGGCACCATATTTGTTGAACAAATAGAGAAAATACTAAGAAAAGGCAGGATTTTAAGATAGGAGGGCAGAGACAGAGATAGTGGCCCTGAGCTCAGACTTAAGAGTCATAGAGTCGTGCTTTTGGATCCCAGGTCTGCCGCTTCCTAACTGCATGAGCAGACTGAGCCCCTCCGAGCTGAGAGTTCACGTCAAGTCATGGAGGATGAATATCTGGGAAGCTCTCAGCAGACCTCCTGCGTGAGCTCCCAACAATGTCAGTTACTATTTTTATTATTTTTGTTTAATCCTCACCCGAGGAAATTTTTCCATATTTTGTTCAGATAGAGTGGGAGGGAGAGAGAGAGAGAGAGAAACATCGATGTGAAAGGGATACATGTGGTCGCCACCCGCACAACCCAACCAGGGCCGGGGACAAACTGCCACCGAGGTACATGCCCTTAGTGGGAACCGAACCCGGGTCTCTCTGGACCACAGGCTGACGCTCTAACTGCTGAGCCAAACCGGCCAGGCTTCAGTTACTACTATTACTGCTGTCACAGACCAGTAAGCGAGAGAGGGGCTGGCATAAATGGGTTCATGAATATCCTCCAATGAATGACTGTCCGCTCGAACTCCATGTCTGGCCACGTGACTCGTTTTCTTTGGCTGATGGGACAATGATGCACCTGATACCAGCAGAGATGCAGAGGTGTGAACGTAACAGCCTGTTTCTAGCTCCTTTCTTGGGGTTCTCCAACCTGCCAACGATTATAGCAGTGTAATCGAGCCCAGGGAAAAGCAGCCAGGGCACTCAGCCAATCCCGAGGCTTGGTTGAAATAATAAATAGTTGTTGTTTTAAGCCAGTAGTTTGGAGTGACTTGTTACGAGGCAATAGCTAGCTGACACAAGGCCATGGTTACCCTTGTCCTTTAGAACAGAGAGGCAGGGGAGGAGGGTGTCTAGGGGGGAAAAAGGAGAAACATCTGTAACAAAAATAAATTAATAAAAATTGAAAAACAAAAACAAAGAAACTGGAAGGCAGCCCTGGCCAATTTGGCTTCATGGTTAGAGCGTCGTCCTGCGGACGGAAGGGTCACAGGTTCAGTTCTGGTCAAGGGCATGTACCTCAGTTGCAGTTCAATCCCCGGCTCTGGTTGGGGCTGTGCGGAAGGCTACCAATTGATGTGTCCCTCTCACGTCAATGTTTCTCTCTCTCTCCCTTCCACTCTATCTAAAAAATTCAATGGAAAAATATCCTCGGGTGGGGATTAACAAAAAATAAAATAATGCTCTTTAAAAACAAAACAAAACACAGAAAACTGAAAGGCAAATAACAGAGGAAGTCGGGATCTGCCAGGTTTTATTTGTAGAGTTTAGTGAACTTGAACCAGAGAAAGCTGCAGAAGTGGTTTGGAGTCACAGGGAAGGGCTACCAGGCCCCGAGGGCACCCTCCAGGTGGAGGACAGAGGACACCAGAGGCAGGAGGAGGGTGGGGGCAAGTCCAGACAGCAGCAGCAGGGAGGGCTGCAGCATGGGCAGGCTGGGGCTTGAGAGGCGCAGGGCTCAGGCTGTGGGGTCGTACACCCGCCCCATGAACACCGGGACCCTGTGCTGCTGGTCCCAGAGCAGGAAGAGGAAGGGCTGCTGCACTTCGAAGAGCAGCAGGTTGCGGGCCACCGAGACCGCCGAGGCGGCCGCCGCCTCCACCCCGCTCTCCGTCAGCTCCAGCATCGACTGGTGCTGCATCGCAGAGACCTGAAGGTCCGGGTCCTCTGTCAGCCCGCACAGGTTGAGGTCGTAAGAAAAGTCATAGAAGTCTAGGGCAAAATGGGAAAACACAATGAGTCAAAGACCAGCACGAAACCCTCAGCTGCTGGAGACATTTGTCTGGAATTTTCTGGGTTGGTCTCCAGTCCTGATACTCTCATCTTCTTCCTCCTTGCTTATCAAAATATGTATCATACCTTCAGGTCCAGTTTCTGGGATCCTCTGCCAGGGGGCCCATCTTCACTCCAACCACCACCTTCTCTCAAGTGGTGAGAGGCCTTGTCCCTACCCCCAAACCCTGGAAAATGATGCTATTGCTTTCTTGTCAACAAGGACCTTGCAAGTGAGGGACTACATCAGAAAGAGGGCATATATTATCAAGTGAGGTCATATACTAGGAAACAAGATTATCTATTAGGAGGTCAAGTCCTTCTACAGAAAATTAAGTGATATATCTGGAAATGAGGTCGAAGGTCAGAGAGTGAGGCCAAAGGTTAGGAAACGGAGTCTCTGTGGCCTCTCCTAAACTCAGAAGCCTCCAGGCACCGTCTTATCCTGAGTGCTTCTTCCACAATCCATGGGGTGGGGGGGTGTTATGAAATGTCTCTGGGGAGGAGCATCCACGGCCCACCTTAGTCACCTGTCTGTCCAGTGTCGCAGTGAACCATGGTGGGAACAGTCGAGAGAGCTGAAGATGGGTACTGGTGCTCTGGCTCCCTTCTAACTAGCTCAAGGGATCTTGGCTAAGTCATGTCAACTTTCTGAGCCATTTCCTCAGCGATGTAATGAAATAACAGCACCTGTTTCTCTAACTTCCCGGACTGAGGGACAACCTGAGATTTTAGATGTAAAAAAGACTCTAGAGAGTGCTAAATGCATCTTAGGGACTCCCCCGTCCCCCACACCACCCTTTTCTCCTCTGAAGGACTGCGAGCTGCCAGGGCTCACCCAGATTCTCCATGACTGCCAGCATGTCCTGGTTGTTCTTGAGCTTGAATCGGGGCATCATCAGGAGTGTGGGCTGGAACTTGGTCATCTCTAGCTTCTTCATGAAGGCCTTGAAGACAGTGGGGTTGAGAGCCTGCTCAATGTCTTCGAGACTGTGTTTTATGTTCTGGGGTACCAGGATCACCATACTCAGGTTGTGGGTGAGCTGTAGCTGCCCCACCTGGGGAAAAAGAGATGACACCTTATCAGTCTTCCACCATCTGGGTCCCAAGGCTGATCTTCACTTTGCTGCTCCAATCTGCATCATTTCAGCAAGCAGCAGCCAGACCTAGGCTTCCAGGTGTTGCCATGAAATGGGGATGCCAGTTAGGTGAACAGTGCTGGTGTATCTCTGTGCTGGTGAGATGCAGAAGAATGAGCACAAGTTCCCAATCACACAAGCCGAGGAGGACACCCTGACTCTACCACCGATGAGCTATATAATACAGGCAAGTGATTTGATCTTTCTGAGCCCTGTCCCCTTCCTCTCAAGTGTGCTGTGCATAAAATATATAACGTGCCTAAGGTACTATCAGAGTTACCAGGTAAGTCCTTTTATTTATTTATTTTATTTTATTTTTATTTCTCACCCGAGGATATTTTTCCATTTATTGTAAGATAGAGTAGGAGGGAGAGAGAGACAGAGAGAAACATCGATGTGATAGAGCCATATTGACTGGTTGCCTCTCACAAGACCCGACCGGGGCCGGGGATGAACCACAACTGAGGTATGTGCCCTTGGACCAGAATCAAACCCATGAATCATTGGTCCATGGGCTGACTCTCTAACCACTAAGCAAAACTGGCCAGGGCTCAGGTCAGTCCGTTTAAAGATTTGATGGCTGTGCAGTGCCTTTGAGAGTAAGTATAAATCTCTTAATGTGACAGTCAAGACTATGTACAAGATAATCCTAGCTTACTTTTCCAGTTTGCCATTAGAAGGACTTTCACCGATGACCAGACAAAAAGATAAGAGAAGTGTGGGACCCCTGGGTCTAATATAGTGGTTCTCAACCCAGTGTGAATTTGCCCCAGTGGACACTTGGCAATGTCCAAAGACATTTTGGTTATCACAGCTGGAGGGGGGGCTCACACAGTGTTACTGGGATCTAGTGGGTAGAAGCCGGGGATCATGCTAAATCCTACAATGCATAACAAAGAATTATCCAACCCAAAATGTCAACAAGGGCGAGATACCTTAGACCAATAGGATATGAGACGATCATTGAAAGGGCATTGTGGTTAAAAGATGTACAAGAAGAAACTAGACTACAGAATCCAATTGGGAAATAAAGATATTAACTGAAACCAGTCAATAGTTGGTATTTTTAAAAGTGACCCAGAAGAAGCAGGATGTCAATTGCTATCAACTGAGGAGCACGGCCATGGGGTCCCTGTTGATGGAGGCTCCAACTAGGGTGTGATCATTTAGGCAGCATGTACCCTTCAAGTTCTGCATATGGGCATCAAATCTCTGACCAAAAAGTACTATGTTATGGTCTTGAATTTCCAAGCCAGTAGCCTGAACATACCTGAGCTGGTAAACCTAATCCTCTTAGTGGGATGAAGGTTCATTACGTCCCAGGAAGATTCAGAATTTTAAGTATGGGAATGACAAAGTAAACCAACTTCATAGTATTCACATCAGGTGATAAGTTCAGGATACTTTTAAGAGAATCAGACATGCCAGTTTTATGTTTTTAAGCAAAAAGTTATAGGATGATTTCACTAAGTTTGAGAATGATGTCGAGACGCTGGGTTAAAGTTGATTTACTCTATAAATTTAATTTTCAGTTCACAGGTGTTGGGAAGACATGGCCAACCAGGGCTGTAATTCTGCTCTGTCAGGTATGTGATACTTTGAATTTATAACATTAACACATTAAATAAGTATCTGTTTAAAATCCAAGAAAGCCAGACTGGTGTGGCTCAGTGGCTGAATATCGACCCATGCACCAAGAGGTCGTGGGTTCGATTCTTAGTCAGGGCACATGCCCAGGTTGTGGGCCTGATCGTCAGTGGGGGGCATGCAGAAAATGGCCAATCAATGTTCTCGCTCACTGATGTCTCTGTCTCTTCCCCTCTCCCTTCCTTGCTGTCTAAACTCAATAAAAAAAAATTATTAAAAAAAAAAAATCCAAGGAACTGTAAATACTGTTTTTTGTGTACAAAACACCTGCTCTGTTGACATAAAAAAGACATTGGGCCCTGTTTGGCCGGTTTAGCTCAGTGGTTATAGCATCAGTCCATGGACCAATGAGTTATGGGTTTGATTCCGGTCAAGGGCCTGTACTGCGGTTGCAGTTCGATCCCAGCCCTGGTCAGGGGTCATGTGGGAGGCAGCCAGTCGATGTGTCTCTCTCACGTTGATGTTTCTCTCTCTCTTCCCCACTCCTAACTTTATCTGAAGATAAATGGAAAAATATCCTCAGGTGAAGATTAAAAAAAAAAAAGGACATCGATACCTTCCCCCAATATACTCTGAGTTAGAGTGATGGCCTGAACGTGTCATATGGGTTCACTTTTTTCTGCCTTACATATGTTATTCTGATTCTGTTAAATAGTTATGAATGGTCAAATTCATTGGATGGGGATGAATGGGTAGAAAAGTGCATGAATGGTCCAAAGTCACCTCCTCTGTGAAGTCTTCCCAACCCTAGGCAAGCACCCTCCACTGAATTCATTCATTAATTCAGCCAACATATAATGAGCACTTATTATACGTAACAGTGTTCTAGGCACTGGGGACGTTATCGGAAACAAGATAGGTAAGGTTTCTGTTCCCAAGAAAAGAGAGAATATAAAGGGAGATAGACAATATTGTAATTAAATAAGCAAATAACATAATTCCAGGTAGTGATAAATGCCATCAATATAATAAAACAGTGATGTCATAGGGTGAGGAGGGGGCTACTTTAAGAAGGGAGAAGTCTCCTCTACCAAGGTGATCTTTGAGCTGACACTTGGGTGAGCAAAAGTGAAAATCTAAGTGAAAAGGGTCCAGGCCAGCAGTTCTCAACCTGTGGGTCGTGACCCCTTTGGGAGTCGAACGATCCTTTCACAGGGGTCACCTAAGACCACTGGAAAACACATATTTCGATGGCGATTCGTAACAGTAGCAAAATTACAGTTATGAAGTAGCAACGAAAATAATTTTATGGTCGGGGGTCGCCACAACGTGAGGAACTGTATCAGAGGGGTCGCAGCATTAGGAAGGCTGAGAGCCACTGGTGTAGGCAGAGGGAAAGTAAAGGACAGCTCCCAAGGTGGAAACAAGCCCGGTGTGTTCCAGGACACATCCTTTACTTCTCAGCCTGGAACCAAGTCACTGGGCGCCTCCCACTGTTTTCTATCTCATGGGTCTGTGTCTTGATGCCTGATGTCCTAACAAGGCAGAAATATCTGATCACCGGGCATGAGACAGTTTACTAACGAGAATCCTCTGGGTTCCATGTTTTCTGTCTTCCCTCCCTCCCCATCCACTGAAATGATACTGTTCAATTTCTGCTAAGGAACTTAAGCCTTTAAACACATGTGCACACACACACCCCATGTAGGCCCACACAGCGATACCTGTACATGTGCACACATACATGCACGTTGTACATGCATGCATACATCAGATGCACAGAACAGAAACATGACTCACTTTTTGCCATTTGATGGAGTAGAGATGACTGAAGAGACTTTAGAATCCTGCTTTCCAGCCTAAAATATACAATGCCTGCCCCGGCCAAGACTGGAGAAGGAAGAAAGAGAAGAGACAGGGTGGAAATACGAGGGAAGGAGTAGAAATTAGTAAGGGTGCACCCCAACCAATGGGGTCATAGCAGAAAAGAAATCAGGACACACAGGAGGCACGGAAACAGGAGTGGGAAGAGCTGAGAACTGACCTTGGCCTTCAACGTCGGGTCAGTGAAATGGGCCACTGGGTACTTCTTGCTGGTCATCATGGGCACTTTTATCACAGAGGATTTCAAGTGAAAGGGCTCCTTCCTGGTTTTTGTGCGAGCAAATGCTGTCTTCCATTTAGCTAGAGGGAAGAGGGGGAGGGTGACACTAACGTGGGTCGGGAAACGACATAGAGCTGAAATCTGTGTTAGCCAGGGGTAGGACAGGTACAATGGGATCCAGTCATGGAGCTTGGGGTCGGGTGGGTTTTGAAGCCAGGAGGGGAGGAAGAATTCAGGATGGAAAGATGACCTGGTCCAGGGCCCACTTACCACTTAGGTAGATAGCATTGAGGAGAACAAGGCGGGTGTCGGAGGGCAGGCTATCCAGCAGGTATTCGATCTTGTGGTTGGTGTTCTTTGCCACCCAACTGTTGATGAGATCCACGTTGACATCACTGTCATTTCCCAGGAGTCTAGGGCTGTCATACAGGTTCCGAGAGGCGTTTATAAAAGCGTCCCTTATGGCCAGGTCTGTGGAGCAGGTGGAGAGAAGAAGGCCTGAGTCCCCTGAGCACCCCCCCCTCACTTCCAAGAGCAGGCTTTGAGAGGGGGTGTGCTTTCCATCGATCTTAGTGCTCACTCCAATGAACACAGCGTGTTGGAGCAGAGGTCCAGGCCGCTCAGCCACTCCTATTATAGATGTGACGATGAGGCTCAAAGAAGGCAAACCCTGAACTTGGAGCAGAACTCGTCCTAGGCCACACCTGCCCCAGCTCGCCATGTGAGCATGGCTCAGCAAGGTAACTCTGAACTTGCATTTGCCTGTATTTTCCTTCCTTTCTTTTTTTAATTCAAGGGGCAACAGACTCAGTGAAAATCTGTAAAAAGACTTCTTGGCTTTTGCTCCAAAGCCCAGGTCCACTAAAGAAAATAGTGTTGAAAGAGAAACTTTTTCTGGACTAAGTAACTGATATTGAATGCAGTTGTATTTTCCACTAACCCAGCAACACAGAGGATAAAGCTGATTTATAGCAAATAAGTAAATGCAATGTTACTCAAATACCTCTGAGCCATATTTTCCCACCTCTAAAAAGAGGGTTGTTTTTTTTTCATGTTGTTTTTCTGTATTTTCTCAGATTCTACAGTGAATAAGTATTGTTTTCATTAAAAAAAAAAAAGACAAAAAAAATGTTTCCCCTTCATTTAAAGAGAGGGTCACCCTGGCCAGTGTGGCTCAGTGGGTTGGGCATTGTCCTATGCACCGAAAGGTTGCCTGTTCAATTCCCTGTCAGGGTACATGCTTGGGTTAGGGGCTTGATCCCCAGTAGAGGGTGTGCAGGAGGCAGCTGATGGATGTTTTTTGCATCCGTGTTTCTCTCTCTCCCCCCCCTCCCTTCCTCTCTCTTTAAAAGTCAATTTAAAAAAAAAAAAAAAGAGTAAAGAGGGTCAGACTAGACCAGCAGTTTTCAAACCTTTTCAAGCAACAAACTGTTTTCAAAGAAAGTTATGTTTGAAGCCCACTGTATAAAAGGGCTGTGGTTGAAGCCAGGTGGGAGCTTAGAGCCCAGCCCAGTTGGCTCCTCTCCTTCACACAGGAAGTGGCACCCCCTCCCCACTCTTCCTCCCCGATCCCCACTTCCACTATGACTTCTGAAGCTGCTCTAGGGCTCTGTGGACCAAACTTTGAAAAAAGTGCATTCAATCATTTCGAAAATCTATTACTCTTATTACCTATTAATCATCTAATACATGTAAATGACAACAAATTCATTGAATATAAAAAAAAAAAGTACAAACACTAGGAGACCCAAGACTCCCCTGACCCAGATCAGCAAACATTTTTTGGCCTATTTTGTGTGTATAGCTCTCTAGCCCTATTTATGAACTCTCAGTCTAAACAGAGTTGACGAATGCAAATGATCTGCCCACAGTCTCACCACGGGGACTATCTGTCTGCTGAGGCCCTCACCTGCTCTGCAGTCCATCCTGGATGCTCTACCTCTAACATTCCCTCTGTCCTTTTCCCCAGTGCTGGGTGCCCCTCAGAATCCCCTCAGGACCTTGCTCAGCAGGAGCTCCCCTCCCTGGCCCTCACCTGGGCTGTGAAAGATCTGAGAGACTGAAGTGAAGCCTTTGGACGTGAAAGCCTTCAGGGCCTGGTGGACGCAGGCGAAGTCGCTGGGGTAGGAGAGGACGGTCTCCAGGTTTTGCTTGGTGGTGTTCCCAGCCCCTACAACGAAAGGCAGAGATGAGGGCCAACAGCAGGAGGCATGGGGGAGCCACCATCAGAACCACTTTGGAGGGACCAGGCTGGCATGGGGCATCGTTGGACTGCTATGCAGGGGATCGCATATCATTAGAGCCAGGGGAAGTGTGATTTCGGGAGATGGTACCCATACCAGAAAGACAGGGGTGGGGGAATTATGAATAATCATGGTTAGGCTTTTCCAGAGTTTCTAATACTCTCCTTCTCTATTTTTTCTACCTAATTTTTATCCCACTCATCATTCAAAGCCTGGTCCAATCACTGCCTGTTCCACACAAACTAGTATTGGTTGGTTTGGGTTTACCAGGGTTCATCCTATAGGCAGGGACACTAGCTCACTATTAAGAGGAGACATCATTGCCCCAGTCGGTTTGGCTCGGCGGTCAGAGCGCCGACCTGTGGTCCAGAAAGGCCCGGGTTGGGTTCCCGCTAAGGGCACCGACCTCGGTTGCGGTTTGTCCCTGGCCCTGGTTGGGCCGTGTCGGAGGCAGCCCCTCGATGTGTCCCTTTCACGTCGATGTTTCTCTCTCTCTATTTCTCTCCCTTCCACGCTATCTGAACAAAAAATGAAAAAATGTCCTCGGATGAAGATTTAAAAAAAAAGAGGAGACATCAGTCCTGCCTGGGTAGCTTGATTGGTTAGAACAACGTCCTAATATGCCAAAGTTTGTGGGTTAGATCTCCGGTCAGAGCACATATAAGAAGCAACCAATAAATGCATAAATAAGTGGAACAACAAATTGATGTTTCTCTCTTGTGCTCTCCCTCCCTCTCTCTCAATAAAAAAAAAAAAATCAATAAATAAAATTAAAAAAGAAAGAGGAGACATTAGAAAATCATTAGTGGGTGGATGTTCAATATCCTTTTAGATATTCATTATTAAATATTTATTGTACATTTTCTATGTAGTAACAGATCAAATTTATTGAGCACTTACTTGGTTTCAGATATTATAAGTGCTTCTCCCATATTACCTCATTGAATCACAATAACTCTTTTACATAAGGACAATTACTATCTCGACTGTGCAGATGAGGAAACTGAGATTTAGAAGGCTAAGTAAGCCCTGGCAAGTTTGGCTCAGCGGTTAGAGCGTTGGCCTGTGGTCCAGAGAGACCCGGGTTTGGTTCCTGCTAAGGGCACATACCTCGGTTGCAGTTTGTCCCAGACCCTGTTTGGGTCCTGCGGGAGGCAGCCACTTGATGTGTCCCTTTCACGTCGATGTTTCTCTCTCTCTGTCTCTCCCTCTCTTTCCCTCCCACTCTATTTGAACAAAAAATGGAAAAATGTCCTCAGGTGAGGATTAAATAAATAAATAAATAAAAGGTTAAGTGAGCCCAGCTGGTGTGGCTCAGTGGGTGAGCGTTGACCCATGCACCAAGGGGTCACCAGTTCAATTCCTGTTCAGGGCACATGCCAAGGTTGTGGGCCCGAACCCCAGTGGGGGGACATGCAGAAGGCGGCCAAACAATGTTCTCTCTCATCAGTGTTTCTATCTCTCTCTCCCTCTCCCTTCCTTTCCCTCTAAAAATCAATAAAGAAAAAAAAATAGGTTAAGTGATCTACTGAATTTAAAATCACAGAATTGATAAGTGGAGATGGAGACAGGATTCAAGCCGTATCTTCTGGGCAATAAAGAAATTAACCGATCCCTGGCCAGTGTGGCTTAGTTGGTTGGAGCACTGTCCTGTGCACCAGAAGGTTGTGGGTTCAATTCCCAGTCAGGGCATGTGCCTAGGGTTCAGGTTTGATCCCAGGTTGGGGCGTGTATGGGAGGCAACCAGGCGATGTCTCTCTCTCACATCGGTGTTTCTCTCTCTCCCTTCATCCTTCTCTAAAATCAATTAAAAAAAACAAAAAAAAAACCCCTGAAACCAATCAACTGAAATGTGCCTTCAGGGGTTATTTGGCAATGTCTGAGGATACTTTGGCGGTCCTAACTGGGCGGATGCTACTGGCATCGAGTAGGTAGAGGTTAGAGATGTTATGACTCTGGGACTCCAGAGGAAAGGTTCTTATCTATGTTCACTCTGTTGTCTCTAGTAGCCTTCCTGGGATTTCCCCCTCAGAGTGACAGTGCTGTCTCCACTGCTTGTAGCCACTTGTTTGTGTCATTCCCAGGGTAATTAATCTGTGGCTCTTGACAGTGACCTTCAGGAAGGCAGAGGGATTGACATTTGTTTGATCTCTTATCAAGCCAGGCACTGGGTTATCTGCTTAATTTTCTGAGGTAAATACAACCATCTCCATTTTACACGTGAGGACTCAGGCTCGGAGATGTTAAGTGATCTGCCCAATGTCACACAGCTAGAAAGCAGCACTGTTGCCCTGGCCAGTTTGGCTCAGCAGTTAGAGCGTCGGTCTGTGGTCCAGAGAGACCCGGGTTCAGTTCCCGCTAAGGGCAGGTACCTTGGTTGCAGCTTGTCCCCGGTCCTGTCGGTCGTGTGGGTGGCAGCCACTCCATGTGTCCCTTTCACATCGATGTTTCTCCCTCTCTCTCTTCTTCCTACTCTATCTGAACAAAAAATGGAAAAATGTCCTCGGGTGAGGATAAAGAAAATAAAAAAAATAAAAATAAAAAAAAAGAAAGCAGCACTGTCATGATTCTACTTTACTTTGATCTCTTTCGGTGCTTTCATCTCCCTTATTATCTGATCTTGAACCATGGTTAGTATCTGGGACATTGTTTTATATGTTCTTGTATGGTCCATAGGGTTTTTATAATCAATAGTACCTATTAAATCATTGTTATATGAAAATTCAAGAAAAAACATCACACCCCCCCATCCCCCAAATGTAGCCCGTTTTTATAGCGTCTTCACTGAGACCTAGCTTTGTAGGTGTCTGGGTTGGGGAATCTCACGGGAGGGTCCAACATACAACCTGAAGAGAACTCGTCAGGTTCTTACCAAGCAGGACCTGAGTGAGCAGGCTGGCAATGCTGAAGGGTGAGAAGATCATATTGGTCTCGGCCTTCTTCACTGACGAGAAGGAGTGGTAGAGCTTCACAGAGAAATCCATCAAAGCCTCCTCCAGTATGGTCTCTGCTGAAGGAGTCTCCAACTCAGGACAGTAAGTATCAGGCGCCGGGCAGAGGGGCCCAGTAGTGGGCTGGGTAGTTGGGTAGCTAGGTTGAGTGGTTGACTGCAAAGTGCTATTGGCAAATGGGATGGTTGAGTTGGTTGCCGGCGTGGTGTGTTGAATGGATTGATTCTTGGGGATCTCTTTCTCTAAGATGTCTCCTTCGCTTTCCCCTGGCGGGCTCTCTGGATCTGTGGGGATCTCTTTCTCTAAGATGTCTGCTTCGCTTTCCCCTGGCGGGCTCTCTGGATCTGTGGGGATCTCTTTCTCTAAGATGTCTGCTTCGCTTTCCCCTGGCGGGCTCTCTGGATCTGTGGGGATCTCTTTCTCTAAGATGTCTGCTTCGCTTTCCCCTGGCGGGCTCTCTGGATCTGTGAGGATCTCTTTCTCTAAGATGTCTCCTTTGCTTTCCCCTGGCAGGCTCTCTGGATCCGTGAGGCTGTGGCTGGTACCATTTGGATTTGAGGAGGCTCTATCCTGTGGGTCAAGAAACTGTGTTTCAGTTTTCTATGAGGCACAGTCCCCTCAAATACTCAAAGCAGGAAGAAAAGGTGGGGATGTGGACAATGTCCTGTACCCAAGATAATTTCAGAAAAGGCCTGGTGGGTGAGGGGCCTGCCTGGAGCCATGGCCAGGAATTCCTTCAGGGTAGGTGGCAAGGCAGGACCGGGTTGGGGTGGGGGCAGGGATGTTCTCTGCAGAAGATGTGGAGCAGGCAGGGACTTTGTCATCGAAGACCAATTACTGCCATATAGGAAGCTGTTTCCCAAACTTTGGATTATATATATATATATATCTCCACCCGTCTTGGGTCACTTGCCTGCCCAGTACAGACATTTAAGCTTGTGGCCTTTGCTTTAGAATAGTGTTTTTTCAAATTGTGGGTTGCAACCCATTAGCAGGTATTAAAAACGGAAGGAAGGAAGGAAGAAAGGAAGGAAGAAAGGAAGGAAGGAAGGAAGGAAGGAAGGAAGGAAGGAAGGAAGGAAGGAAGGGGGGGGAGGAAGAAATAGTATTAACCAGTGGCTCTCAACCAGAGACAATTTTGACCTCAGAGGGCGTGGGGCAATGTTTGGAGGCATTTTTGGTTGTCATAAGGGAGAGAAGGGGGTGGGTGAAAGGCACTACTGGAATCAGTGGGGGGAGGCCAGCGATACAGCAAGACATCCCACAATGCATAGGGCAGCCTCTCATACTGAGGAAATACCCAGCTCCAACTGCTGATTGCTCTGCGTTGAGAAACCATGCATTATCCCCATTTCACTGATAAAAGAAAGTGATGCTGAGACATACTAACTGTCCCAGGGTCTCGCAGAAGCTGGAGGAAAACCAGGTGTCAAACCTCAGTCTGATCCATGTTCCCTGTGGGTGCCACCTTCTACACACATGAACACAAAGGCCAGAGTAAGCATCCACCTTGCTCTGGACTCAGTCCTTACCCCTGAGTTCCCAGACCACTGGAACCTCTTACTGCAGCTACCACCCACCCAGGCCCGGGTATGTCCTCCACCCCTCCTCAGTTTTTACAGGCCCAGCCTCAGGAGAACCTGTGTCTCAGCTGCTAAACCCCCACCTTGCAGCTCAGGGTCCACAATAACCCTTGCTTTTATATCACAAAGTGCTGTCCATCTCCTTGCCCTGTTTGGTCTTTCTCCTTTATTCCCTCCACTTTATAAATCAGGGCAGGTAGGCTAGGAGAAGTGACTTGCTCAAGGCCACCAGGCTGGTGCCTAGTGGGCCAGGATTCGAACCTTCGCCCGTCTGAGTATCTAGCTCTTTCCAGTCTCTCTACGAATGGAGTTGCAAGGAGCATCCTGGCTGATCCTAAGAGGAGCTCTCCGCATTCCCCGGGGCCTGAAGGGTTAATCCTAAGCACCCCACCCCCACCCCATCCCCCATCCTACGAAAGGCCACTCACCCCAGCCAACAGCAGCAGCAGCAGGAGGGTCAGCGGGGTCAGCCTGGAGGCCATCTGGGAGGCGATGTCAGTCCAGACCTGCGGAGCCAGCCAGAGTTGGAGCCAGCTTCGAGGCCCAGGGCCCACCCTGGGGCCCGCCCTCATTCCATTCAGGCCCTAGACCCTCTCAGCGAACGCCCTCTCCTGGCCACCTTCTCCCAGGCTCCTCCCTCTGTTTTGTTTTCCCAAAACCGCTCCCCTTTCCCGGCACTGGCTGGCTCAGTCTTCCCCCACAGGCCCGGGTCTCCGTCCATCTGTTCCATCTGGGGGTCCTGCTTTAGCCAAACAATGAGGCCAGAGGCAGGGGAGGAGGGGAGGTCCAGAGGGGGCTGGGTACCACAGCCCAGAAGGGGAGGGGGCGGGGGAGGGGAGAGGAAGGACGGGGGAGGGGAGAGGGAGGGGAAGGAGGGAGGCAGAAGTCTCAAGTGGAAGCAAGTATGTAGAGACTGCAGAGAGAAAAAGGGGGGGGACTGGGGGAAGGAAATAGGGAAATGAAAAGACACCCCCCCCCCCAATATCCCCTCCCAAGAACCAAACCTGCTCCCAACTCCTGGTCACTGGGCAGCTTTAGTGCAAACTGAGTGGATAGTCCCACGGGGTCAGGAAGGGTGGGGTGTATATCTGTGGGGGGGTTGATCTTCGCTATTGGCTGGCCCAGGACACTGCCCAGTTACAAATTAAGGATGATTGATCGCTGGTGTTAGTTCCCGTAAATCACGACGTGAGGAATCCCCTGGTGGGCTTTGGGGGCTGGACCCGGGTTTTAGCCTAGAACCTTTTGGGGGCTGGGGATGGGGAAGCTTGGGCGCAGCTCTCAGCTTTACAGAAGGAAGCGCCCCCCTCCAGGTTCACGAGTCATGATAAAAACAGCACGGACACAAATTGTTCCAGAGTTTGCAGGCAACCAGATAGTCGGGAATTGCTCATCTCAGCTGATCTTCTAAGTAACCCTTTGGAAAATGGCCCCTTTGTGCCCATTTGATAGCTGAGAAACTGAGCCTTGGTGCACTTACTGACTCCAGATATACTTCACTTGGAGATAAGCCTGGGTTGGATCTTAATCTCCTGAAGTCCAAACCTGGCCCCTGCTCTCCCCGTGTGCTGGGTGGGTGTGCTGTTCCTCTTCTTTTTTGATACAGTCAAGGGATCTGGGACACCAGTCCAGTGAGCATCGGTCCAAAGTTGGGTGTATGCGTTTGCCGGCCAGGGGACATTTGCAGTGACCTGGGAACCAACAGCCCTGGCTTCCCTCTTCGGATCTGTCCTCTCAGGGTTGCCGGATAAAATGCAGGAAGCTCAGTTGAATTTGAATTTCAGATAAACAAACAATTTTTTTGAAGTCTGTTCCATACAATATTGGAACATAATTATACTAAAAACATTTTTGTCATTTACCTAAAATTCAAATTTAACTAGGCATTCTGTATCTTATCCGCTGAATCTAGCAACCATACCTCCTTTGAAAAACCAGGCGGTCTCATGACCTGATAAAGCTCTCGCGGTCTATGACCGTCTCACTGCTGGGCCTGTCCGGTTGGGCACAGGCATGATAGTTGGCTGCTAGCACCAGAACTGCTACTCAAGGGACTGACCAGAGAGAATATTTGTATGTCTCCTTGGGGGTTCTTGGAAAAGACCCTTAAAGACTCTGCACCTGCTTTTCGGGAACTTCATTCTCTGTGGCCACTTAGGAACCTCCCACACCCCGGGGAAGTTTCTTCACATCGGTACCGAAATAAAATGGAGTCACTCTAGTCAAGCTACTAAATTATAAAATCAAGAAGGCTGAGGCATGAGGAAACAATTCTATTCTTTTTTAAAAAAAATGTTTTTATTGATTTCAGAGATAGATAGATAGATAGATGATAGATAGATAGATAGATAGATAGATAGATAGACAGACACCAGTGTGAGAGAAACATTGACTGAACCCACAACCTGGGCACATGCCCTGACTAGGAGTTGAACCAGCAACCTTTTGGTGTACGGAATGATGCTTAACCAACTGAGCCACACCAGCTAGAGTTATTCTATTCTTGTTTTAATTAACCGGGGGACTTAAACTTTTGAATTTGCCAGTCCTGTGTCAATGCCTGGACACACATCAAGTCTCCAGATAACCTTCTGGTTACCCTCTGAGAGGACTCATGTATCCAGACCACCTGACATCCTTCATCCAGACTAATAACCATCCTGGACTAACCCTAGGGCTGAGAATAAAGGCCTGATTTTTTTTCAAGAACGCTTTTTTTACTATAAGAACGCTTAACTTTCCTTTCTTCTTCGGAACACTTCTGGTTTGTGCCTACCTGTATTGCTGGTACGCGAACTCTAAGACCCTAGAATAAATTGTTATCACTTATTTCTAGCCAAAGCCTCCAGACTCTTTTTGAGTTTACTTGACACATTGTTGGAGCAGCTGCACACACATCACTTCTCTATCCCAGGGCCCAACTGAGGGCCTCGAAGGCACATTGAGCTTGTGGATTCTGGGAAATGGGTCAGCCAAACAAAAAGAAGTTGGTGGAAAACAACCTCAGTTTTCCTCTCCTTAATTCTCACGACACCTATGAAGTGCCTGCTGATATTAATCCCACCTTAAATGAAACAACAACAAAAAAGAGATTCACAGAAATGAACTGATTCAGCCAACATAGCTAGTAAGTGACAGAGCCAAAATATGGACCAAGTCTGCTTGACCCTGAAAACTACTGGCTTACACCAGAGCTAGCCTGAAAGCAGGCAGCAGACAGCATCCTGTGCCCAGCTGCAGGAGTCTGGTGCTCTGTGGACCAAAGTCTTAGGGTGGACAAGGCCTGGTGGAGAGGTTTCCCAGTGTGTGATCTACCACCGTCAGCCATCTCAGCTCTCTGGCCAAAGCCATCGCTGTACTCGGGACATTTAGCAGTGTGTCTGCTCTGTGGAGACTTTCCTGCCTGAAGAAGCTGGAGCTGAAGTTGAAGGTCTTCTTGACTGAGACATGAGCACTTTCCCCCAAGTGTGCCCAGAGGTTGACTTAACTGAGGTGTTTGGAGAATTCTTTCCTAGCTTGGGTGTTCAGTCAGCTTAGGGCTGTGACAGTCCTTCCCCCAACCCTGGGGGGCAGGTCTAGGGTTTCTAGGGCATGAGAACCTTCCCTTCTGGTGGATGAGGAGGTATGAGCCCACTGGGGTGTCTTCCCCCATATTTTGTCTGCACATGGCTTTTTCCCACTGTGAGTTTTCTGGTGTTGGGTGAGATTCAAGTTCCTACTACGTCTTTCTTTTCTTTTTCTTTTTTTAAAAATTTTAATCCTCACCTGAGGATATTTTTCCGTATCTTCAGATAGAGTGGTAGGGAGGGAGGGAGGAAGAGAGAGAGGAAGAAACATCAATGTGAGAGAGACATTGATTGGTTGCCTCCCGCAGGACTCCAATCAGGGCTGGGGTCAAACTTCAACCAAGGTACATGCCCTTGACCAGAATCAAACCCGGGACTCTTTGGTCCACGGGCCAACACGCTAATCGCTGAGCCAAACTGGTCAGGGCCTCACTAAATCTTTCTGTGCTCAGAACATTTTATCAGGTTTTTCTCCCAGGCGGATCCTCAGATACTGAAGGTGCAAGTTGCTGTGGGTGAACACTTTCTCACAATCTCTATACCTATAGTTTCTCCTCTGAAGAAATAAGGCAGAAGTCTCAGGGTCAGCTGATTCTCAGAACACAGAGAATCATTTAAGTGATCATTTTCTCAGTTCTCCCACAGACAGGACTCAACGAGTACCACTCTAGACACAGACAGATGCTGACTGATTACAAAGAATGCCCTGGGCATCACAGCCCAATCCTCTTTCAGAACCCTGGCTGCAAAATACCATTCCAGGGAATAACGTTTTTTTGACTTATTTACTGTGGATCAAGGCCCATAGTCTATTGTGTCAGATGTTGACCTGCCAAAATGGATAAGATGCAAATGGTTTTGTCTAGTAGAGGTGAAGGTGACAGGAAAACATTTGGAGGAGATGATCATGATAACCCCAGAGGTTATGGTCTTATTGTCCTGTAGGGCAGTAGCCAGTTTTGAAGATAATTTAGCTTTGTCATTCTAGCATTCTCTTTTTTCACTGAGTACACACACACACACACACACACACACACACACACGTTTCTTGCATCATTCTTTGAAACAGCTTTGTCATCCTGATGTTTGGTCTCATTAATGTTCTCACTGTATGTTTCTGTAAGAATGTTCCTGCCATTCTGAGAACTGTGTTTTGGCTTTCTCCTTTGCAGGGTTGTGGATGCTTTGTAAGTAAAGATGGACCACCGACTGAATTTGTTTTCTTTTCTTTTCTTTTTTTTTTTTTTTACAAAGGTAGTCCTCTGCAGGGGGAGGAGGCATAGGCTTGGTAGCCATGAGTGAAATGAGTGAAGGGGCTGTAAGGGTTTCTGCTGCCAATGCTTCCTTGGCATCTTCATTCATTCCCTTTCTCAACAGTCTATCTCACATGGGCTCTTACCTGCTCAACTTTCCAGGGACCAAGCCTTCCTAGGAACCCAACAGAGAGTCTCCATTCATAGGACCTTTCTGCTAAAGACCCTCTTCTCAGATATCAGCACTCCCATGTCCATGGCAGCACTATTCACAGTAGCTAAGATGTGGAAACAACCTAAATGTCCATCAACAGATCAATGGATAAAGAGAATATGATATGCAAAACAGCCTGGTACTGGCACAAGAAAAGGCATATAGATCAATGGAACAGAACAGAGAACCCAGAAATTGACCCAAGTCATTATGCTCAATTAATATTTGACAAAGGTGGCAAGAGCATACAGTGGAGTAAAGACAGCCTCTTCAATAAATGGTGCTGGGAAAATTGAACAGCTACATGCAAAAAAATGAAACTAGACCACCAACTTACACTATATACAAGAATAAACTCAAATTGGGCAAAAAATTTAAATATGACTTGTGAATCCATAAAAATCCTAGAAGAAAATGTAAGCAACAAAATTTCAGACATCACACGCAGCAGAATTTTCATTGATACAACACCTAAGGTAAGAGAAACAAAGGAAAAAAGAAACACATGGGACTACATCAAACTACTGCACAGCAAAAGAAACAACCATCAAAATGGAAAGGGAACCCACTATATGGGAGAACATAATTGCCAATGATACATCAGATAAGGGGTTAATTTCCAAAATATATAGAGTACTCACACAACTCAACAAAAGGAAGACAAAGAACCCAATGAAAAAAATGGGCAGAGGACCTAAATAGACACCTCACCAAACAGGACATACAAATGGCCAAGAGACACATGAAAAAATGCTCAACGTTGCTAATCATCAGAGAGATGTAAATTAAAACAACAATAAGGTATCACCTCACACCTTTCAGAATGGCTGCCATCAACAAATCATCAAACAACAAGTGTTGGCAAGGGTGTGGAGAAAAGGGGACTCTAGTACACTGCTGGTGGGAATGCAGACTGGTGCAGCCACTATGGAAAACACTATGGTGCTACCTCAAAAAATTAAAAATTGAACTTCCATTTGACCCAGTGATCCCACTTCTAGGAATATACCCTAAGAAGCC